ACTAACAGTCGCGGGAGACCCCCAGCTAACACCACCTAGCAGCACAACTCGTAACTACAAAGCATGCGCGCGCAACAGGTCGGTTCCGGTTATTTTTGGGTCCCCCCTCGTACATGTTTTGACTGTAAACAGTTGTCATCATGTGATGTACATAAAACAGATTTGTTGAAATGAGAAATGTTTAAAAATATAGTTAAAATAGTATTGAATTGGCTTAGGTCTGACATAATTTTACAAATGTGTGTTTCTCTTTTTGTTCAGATCAATTTGAAAGAGGTTTTAAACCCCATAAAGCAGGATGTAAAGAAAGGGAAGTTAAGATTTGTGGCCAACTGCTTTCCTCACCATGGTTATATTTGGAATTATGGCGCCATTCCCCAGGTAAAAGCTGATCTATATTTTATGTATTTTGTGTATTTACTGTTCTCTGTTCAGGGGTTTGAGGGACCGAATAAACACTGCACTGACCTCAACAGTTCCTCTTACATCATATTATTAATAAGCAGCAATTGTACCAGGGATATTTTTTCTTAGCCTGTTACTCATTTGTTAATCATTTTTAATTATTGAATTTTTAAAGCAATTTTGTTAACAGACATGGGAGAATCCAGAAGTTTTAGATGAATCAACAGGTTGCAAAGGTGACAATGATCCAATTGATATTTTGGAAATTGGTTACCGAGTGGCAAAGAGGGGAGAAGTGCTTCAGGTTAAAGTACTGGGATCTGTAGCCCTTATTGATGAAGGTAAATTGAAATGAATTTCACTTAGGTACTTTGTAGTGTATTAATTTATTTAGGTGTGATGAGGGTCTAGAAGTTCTATCACAAAACGCTGACTAATCTGTACCAAAATTAGATAAAGTTCTGAGCATAGTATATATATAAAGAAATATGACAGTTATGTTGGTTTTTAAAATACTTGTTTATTCTTGTACTACCCCTTTGAAATGTGTTTGCATTTTTCTGACCTGTCATCATACACAGTGGTCCTGAAACTTTACATATATTCCAGATTATTATATTGATATTAAATCAAGTAAACACAAACTTACACCCTGAAGATTTTATTCTGGTGCATTCACTTTTATTTTAGGTGAAACCGATTGGAAGATAATTGCCATTGATGTGAATGATCCCATAGCAGATGAGTTAAAAGGTATTCTTTCCATATTTCAATGTATAAAATAAGTTAATGATTTTTCTCTTTTTTATTGAATGTTATAGAAATAAATGTAAGAGGTATAAGTAGGCTTTGATTAATATATTTTGTAGTCAAATATGAAAGTCTGTCATATATCTGTAAGATTTTTTATCAAAAAAATAGCTGTCCTGTTAATGGTAATTTCTTTACTTTAGTATACGTATTTTATTAATGAAAACTGCAGTATTAATAAAGAATAGGAACACCAGTATTTATTTTCAGTTCGTTTAATACAAGTTTGAGGTTCCTTTCATTTATTTGTGTCATAAAGGAAATAAATATGCAAGTTTAAGAAAAATCTAGATTAACATAATATGTTTTGTAATGTGTAAAAAAAACTTTGTATTCATTTTGGCGTTTGCATGTCGTTAATGGTCTGACGGAATAAGTGAGCACAGGTTGTATATTTTAAATAATATTAGTTCTAATCACTTTGCTTGACAGATATTGCAGACGTGGAAAAGCATTTCCCCGGACTTCTAAAGGCCACAATTGAGTGGTTCAAAATCTATAAAATTCCAGATGGGAAGCCAGAGAATCAATTTGCATTTAATGGTGAGGCAAAGAACAGGGAGTTTGCTCATCATGTCATTGAAGATGTGCATAAGTACTGGGCTGGCCTTATTAAAAAAGAAACTGAAGCTGGTGGCATTTCATGGTAAATCTACATTTTTTTCTTAAATATTTATTTCTAATTACATCACTATAGCTGCAGTAATATGAAGATGATAAGATTATACGGGTAATAGTGTGGAAGAGTTTTCTGTGCCCAAAAGATAAGTGAGTAGAAGGGTGAAATATTGCCCAAATGTAGACAGGGGACTGTGAAATTTAACAAGAGGGAGATGTCCTTGTGAAATTATAAGTCCACATTTTTCACCTTTCTCGGTGATCCTCTGATGTTGGTAGAGGCAGTGTCTCAAATTCTAGTTCATTCAGTATGGACACAACTGAGTGTCTGAGAAGATTTCATTGCATTCAGTTACTGTTGAAACTTCAAATCTTCTGTAAATGAAGTCCTGGCCTTTGCAATTGCATTGTCAAGCTTTAAAATAGTACTAGGTGTTAATCTCTTGCAAATGCATTCTTTGCTTCTATATTGGCTTTGTGTAACTTTCTATACCATTTGATGTAGTGCTGTTTGCAGAAGGCAAAACTCTGCTGTCTGTATTTCAGAGGTAAAGTAAATTACCATCATGCCTGGAAAATAAAGGTTAATCGTTAATTGTTAAGATTGTGGTCTTATGTTACCATGTGGTTTTGTATATAATTGTCAACATTTAGAAGGCATGTGCTGTGTTCCATCTTCAGGATAGGAGAGTGTATATTTTGTATGTCAGTTTGGGAGGTAACGCTCAGATACAAATTGAGCTCAGAGTGTACAGTCAGTGCTTAAACGAATGGTTGGAGCTTTGATGGTGAGGAATATGCTGTGTAAAATAAGGGAGACAGAATTTCCTTGAATTGCAGAAGAGGTATGCTTATTATGATAACCATATCAGTGTATATGCCTAGCTCATGAACCGTGGTGGATAACTTTTTCTCTCCCCTTTCCTCCCCTACTTCCAGATATTTATTAAGACATGACTGGTTTAATTATTTGTTTGTACAAATTGTTAAAGATGTGTTTTTACAGTGCAAACGTAACAAATGCTGAGAGTCCTTTCAAGATTGAACAGAAGGATGCAGAGGATGTAATTGCAAAGAGTCCACAGCTTGGATCACCCGAGCCTATTGAGTCTGTTGGTATGTATAAGGGAGTGCTAGGATATTGTGTAACATGCAAGTAGATGACATGGTGTTGTTAGCACAGTGATACGTAGGAGGCTAGATTACTTGGGAATGAGTGTAGGACAGGAGATGCAAAGAATCCATGCTGAATTTTGGTAAGGAAACCCTTGGGACATGGCCACATGGAAGACCAAAAAAGGAGATGAGATGAGATGATAGAATGAATCTTCGGAAGATATGGTCTGAAGATGGGAGGTAGATGGATGTAACTCAGGATCATGTCCAGTCTTTGGCATGGGCTGTGTGAAACTATCATATTCAGCTGTCTTGTTGTCATATTTAATATGAAGGTATGCATAACTTTGTTTTATGTGATGTTCTGAAATTGAAGGGACAGAGGGTTCATACCTACAGACTGTGTACTGCCAGAATTTAATTTGTACAGTTGAGGAAGAAACAAAAAGAAAGAAGTATACAAGTTAACAATTATTTTAATTTAGATGATCATATACTGAAAATGTCTGCATTGAGTTAGGAGAATGGTTATCAGAGACATTAAGAGAAGCAGAGCACTGACTTCCAGAATCTCTCTATAATGTACTTTGCACCAAAATTTATGATTATTATTTAATGATGGGATGGGAGGATAATATTAAAATAGATCTTAAATAAATAGGGTGTGAGGGTGTGGACTAGATTCATCTAGAATAGGGATAGGCCTTTGTGTTCATGGCAACAAACCTTTGGTTTCCATAAAAGGTAGGGAAGTTTAATCCAGATGAGATACTATGGGCTATGGAAGGACTTCTTCATGAAACCATTCCTCATGACAAATTGATGCTTTCTGTATTTTGAGAAATATGAATGACTAATCAGTGAAGGCTGGAAGGAATGGCCAGATTGATAGGAATGCCAACCTTGGATGCAGATTAATTGGCTTTGTTGAAATGTGTTACATATTCTCATATTTTAAGTGTTTCTCATCATATGGTGGATAAAGTTTGTTGGTTTTGTTTGAGTTGAATATCCAAGCAAGATTAAGTAGTATCTGTGTTGTTTTTTTCCTTTTCAGTTGATAAATGGCATTTCATTTCTGTAGAAAGAATGAAGTTCAAATTGTGAAAATGAATTTTGAAGAAGTGGTGCATACAAGATCAATTTTTGTTGTGGTCTTCGTTTTCTTGGGATAATAACTGGTGTAATACTTTAATAAATAATAAATTTATTGTATTTTATAAGTTCATTGACTCTCTCTCATAGTTTAATATGTTCTGAAATTGTAGAGATATAAAGACTTATACCTGAAACATTTTGCAATAGCTTGAAGCATTTTCAAGACATTGGAAAATAAATTAATCAGTTTCTAGAATTATAAGAAAAATTAAGCAAATTCCATTTTGTTCTTGCCGTTTTAAATTTGGATTTTAACAGAATATATTTTTTTTTTTTTAAATTCACTTAGTTGGGGTGGAGTCCAGCTGGGTCCACTCGGCAAGGTGGCCACTGATTGCCCCTATCGTGCCTGCCCTGGGTGATTATGATGATGGAGAATTTGGAGGAATGAAGATTGGCAGGGGAAACCGAAGTACTCGGAGAAAATCCGCCCCAGTGCCACTTTGTCCACCACAAATCCCGCTTGAGATATGGCGCGGCCTCCTCTCTTTAACAGAATTGTAATTAAGTAATTCTACAAATTAACTACAAAAGACCAATATTTCAAATTTATATATTTATTGAAAGTGATAAGATGGTGCAAGAAAACAAAATGTAACTTGAGCAACACATTGTAATTTTTGTATCTATATGCAGTACTGCATACATACATCTTTAATTAGCTGTTGCCATGTGCATACCAGCATATCTTGGGTAAATGACTGCAGCTCATATGTATTATTCGGTTTTGCTTTTATAGTGAAATCACATATGAGGTTATAATTTATCCTTTATATAGTGCCCACTGCCTATTCCAAAAAGTGTCTAATGGACTAAGGTCAGGTGAATGGAAAGGCCATAAATTGGTCCTCCTCAGCTCATCCATTTATTTGGAAAGTGAGCATTCAGCCTTTGTCACATAGCATTACTGAGATGCGGGTATACTCTCTTGGCAGATTATGTTAGCAGGTCCTTGGAGATATGGAGAAGCACTGTTTTCTAACATGTCCAAATAAACATTGCTGTCCTCCATTAGGGCCAGCAATTCATTCTTCTCCGCCTTCATCTCTTTCAGCATCTCGTCTGTTTTTTCTTGGCCAGCGCTGATTTTCTTCAGCAAGAGTTCCATCATCTGCTGTGAATCCATCTTGCTGCAGGAAAGTACTTGACGCACAATAATTAGTGTGTGGCGCGTGTAGGTTTGTAAAACTTCTGACACCAATGTAGCGTGTTTGTGTGTCACGCTACAAATAAGTTCACGCCGTCATCTGATATATAGCGAATTTATTTCTTTCGCTCATTTACACACACTCTACAATCATCTGCGCCTGCAGTGTTACAATCCTGCTCACAATATTCCGGCGAGACACTGGACTTCTTAGACGGATATTCCGAAGTTTCTTCTCCGAAGGCTGTTCCGCGACTTTATTCTCTGAAGGGTGATCCGAGACTCCTGTTTCTAGCTGAAGCTGGGCTATCTATAACCTTGCCCGCTGTTAGGCAACGAACCCTCCGTTATAACCATGGAGACTCCTGTTAGAATTACGATGGAGCAATTGTTGTCTCCTCTGTAACGGTCTATTGTAGCGTTTCCATAGAAGTTACTCCTCTGGTTTGCCGACACGTTACAGTATATTTTCTGTGAAGAATAACGGACCTCTTGCTCCTATGCTTGTCAGTATTTGTTACACTTTTCAGAAATGTCTGATAAATGATTGCGTTATCAAAGTATTGTCACGTGTCTTGAGTTTGAATCTTGTTGGTCACGTGTGTAAGTCCAATCCCACTTCTGAAACACCAGTTTGTCACGTGTTGGGTGTATAACGCGACAAATAACTTCACGCCTTATTGGATATAGCGAATTTTATTTCACATTCGCTCTTACAATCACACAGCTTACTGATCCACAATTACTGCTATCTGCAGTATTACAGTTACTAGACTTCAAATGCTGGACTACAACTGAAAGGTTAACTGCCTGGCTAACTCGTAACTAACTCGTAACCTCGAGAACTTGAGGACTGGAACTCTTGAATAGTCTTCGCTGCTCCTTATTTAGCCCTGTTCCGGACAACACAGAAAACAGCCACGTAATAGGCACCACTGTTGTCTGGCGCCATGTTGCTAGCAACGCTGTCGGGAGTTGTTTTCACTACGTAGTAACTGCGGTGTCCCATGTTATGTCACCACTGTTTACTCGCTTTGCTTAGCAACCAGCGTGCTGGGACTTGGCTCACTTCGGCTCCACTCGGCACATCACCGCTGGCGGGGTGGGAGGGGCGTTATCCATAGCGCAACATGTCACAGTATAATAGAATCCTGAATTAAAGTTTCTTGGTCTAAAATTTTGTCCTGCAGTTTTGCATTCACTTTTTGTGATCCAGCCAAAGCCCAGTGTAAGTAATGTATATTTCTCCCAGATTTAGTGTTTCTGATATTATGTTTTACCCCATTTAGTAAATGAACATCCAGTCCCTCATGAAATCTGTTCCTTAGTTTATTTACCCTGAATGGAAGACGGGTTTTTCACATATTTTCAGTGTCAAATTGAAGGGTTATCTTGAATTCAAGTGTGTACAATAATATTGACATTTTTAAGTGTTTTAAGCTTTTCCTGGGTTGATATTTCTAAGATACAATAATTGCTCAAATGAAACCATATTGTGCCATCAGCCTAGCAAATGGGAGAGAGAAGGACAAATAAAGCAGTTTTGCTTGTATGAGTGCATAACATGATTATATTCCGTGCAAGTAATACTCATAGTATGGTCAAAAGATTAACAGAAATTAATTCAGTCGCAGTTATGTCTGCAAAATCTGTAATAAGTGCAGAAGACTATTGAAATAACTTCACATTGCTAAACTAATATGGCAGAGCAAACTGAGTTCTCCATCTCTGTCCATGAAAGAAATACAAAATGCAGGAGAATGTGTGATTGTACTCTGTACTCTTTAATCTTGGAATGAGAAACTCTGTTTTGAAAACAAAACAGAAACAAATTTCTCAGCTTGGTGAACATACTTGAAACTGAGACTTGAAGCATGTATGGAGAAAATATGTTAGTAATACATCACACTTCATCCTTCAGGGTTATTGATGTGATGTCACTATTGTAAATATGCTTGTTCCCATTGAAAGATTGATATTATTAAATGAGGCTGTAACATATTACATAAGAACAAACTCCATGATTTATACAGGTCACTTAATATTATTATTCTGGTTAAATCAAGATAGCTACAAATATATGGGGAAACAAGAAATGTACATGGGATTTTGTTAGAGAAGTGACTGTTTGGAAAACTGACACATGGGGGAATAATGGCAGTGAATCCTATGAGTTTCACTATGTGAAGATTCATTTCACTTTGAAATTTATGCCCTTTATTATGAACAGATTCTTTGCTTATGAACATTTCCACTTTTGATGGTTGCCACTTTCCAGTGTTGTTTCCACTTTCTCGGGGGGAAGTTTAAGGCACAGGCGAAGTAGATGCACTATGATTATATGTTTGGTGCCTCATATCCTCTTAGTCTTTCATTAACGCTCCTGTTAGTTGTAATTATAATAATGCATTTGCATGCGAACAGGGTGCTTGTATTTTATTACTTCAAGTAAACACTCTGCTTTTATTTTTCAGTGGACAAGTGGCATTACATTCATCTGAAATAATTACTCAGTACAACTGCATCTGTGTCTCACTTTTTGAGACTGCAGTATGGACCATTTAACACATACCAGTTCCACCAATTGGAACATATTCAATCATCCGTGGTAATTGTGATTAATTTGAAAATACACTTGTGTTATGTGGGTAAATAAATGAAGTGAAATTTATTGTTATGAGATGTGAATTTATCTTGATTTTACATAATTGTAAATTAGCATAATCATGTTTATTTTCTGAATAAATTTTTTTTTCTTTCTTTTTACTGAGACTTAGTCCACTTTGCACTTTCATTGACCCTTGTCCCTCTTTGCACCCTGTAGAGGGCAGATTAAAGGAGCTGGTGGTAATTTGGTAGCACTACGGGTTTCTTCAGGGCTGGACGGCCAAAAGGTCAGAGTTCAGTTCTGGTAGGGGAAAATTTTTGCCTTCTCCATGTGAACCAGACCAGTTCTGGGTCCCACCAAGCCACTTATCCAGTGTGTACCGGGGGTAAAGTGGTTGGGGCGTGAAGCTGACGACTCCCTACTAGTGTTGCCGTTAAGAATAGGTGGATCTATACGTCCACCACCCCATACGTCTTCATGGCTTAGTGCTTGATTTGTTAAGCATAGGTTCAACTTCACTTTTCCGGTATAATCCTATGTCGTAATTTTATATTAACATGATTTTTTTTTTTTTTTTTTAATTTATGTCCTTATGTACCGGTGGCACATGAAGGCGTGGTATAGTATCCCCCCTCCATAAAAACCGAAGGCCGGTGTTACCAACAGTTGCAGTGATGGAAAGGTTAATGCACGTGTTCTGCGTCGGCGTGAGCCATTGATTTTCTTAACATTAGTTCCATTTCTCTCCGCCAGATAGTAGTTGGCCGCCACCTATTGAGGTTCAGATGAAACATCTCGGTTGTTCCGCGTCTGTCAGAGTGGAGTGAATTTTGTTTTGGTGGTGGGTTTGGTTCGAAAAGCCGCGGAATTCGTGTGCATACTGCATAAATCTCATAGAAGAGAAGCGTTGTACTTTGAAGGCAAGAATAATCATTAATCTTTCGCCGTTCTTGACAGTGGTTTACTGCCAATTCGCAAATGAAAATCCTTTGGATTATTGTGCTGTTCGGCTTCTTGGCCGCGGCAGTGGAAGCAAAGAGAAAGAGAAAATTCGAAGGTGATTTCGAATTTGCTGAAGAGGTAAGTGGTGACCTATATTATTGCAGTTATATTATTCATGTGTGTTTGCTTGAGTTTATTGTTGCTACAGGAACTTTTTTTGTCACGATTCTGAGTTTGATACTTGATTTCGTGCTATTCTGCCAAATTACATTACTGTCAATATGAAAATGAGTTCATTATCATTACATAGGCTATGGAATATCCCAGGATATTGACATATCCTGTTCTGTGGGCAAGATAAAATTGAAATGAATGGAGCATTGGACTGAAGTTTTAAATCGTTGAGGTTCAATTTCAGTTGACACAATCCACTTGATTTTATTACGCGATGTATTTTTGTTTTTCATAGTTGCAGCCAGTAGATTCCAGTTGTCTGATCAGGTGGTTGTAGTAGGGTGTTGAGGCCACTTTAACGGCTGATGGTTGTTGTAAGTTTCCCCTTTCAACGGTCCAATTATTTGTGAATGTAATGCGTGAGTGGTGAAAGATGTTGGGTCATGGCTGTAGTGTAATTAAGAGCATTGATGCTTTCAGGCAGACTAGTATAATTGGGCAGTCGAGTCCTCTATCAGATGTTTGTGCGTTGTTGTAGATGGACATGCACTGAGGTAGGGTAGGGCAAGCAGTTGTGACAGCTTGCCACAAGCCGTCTTTTCGTCACGGTTGCCATGCCGGCACTGAAACACGTTTAAGCCAGTGCTGAATGTAGCCGTTGATAGTAATAATATCCCTGCTTTGTTCTGTCAAACCAGCCACCCGTAATAAATTCAAGTCAGGAACGGTGGCGCATTCCCGTTATCTTTCTTCTAAATATCATGTGCAGTTGTTGACAAAGATTCCGACAAATAAATCCATCATAGACTTTAAAATATTTTATATTTCCCCACGTTATTGCTTTCATAATTTTCTGAAATATTTTAGAACCTCCTGTAAATTTTGTTGTTCCGATATTAAATGTTTGTTATTAAATAACCACATATACTCATATAACTTGTGAAAGCGATCGAAGAATATGATGCTCTGAGTTGAAAGAGATATTCGAATTATGTGGTCCAATTAATTAAGATCAGCGCTCATTAAACTGCTGATTCGTGCCTTGTTTTCTACTGAACATTAATCGTATACGGTACCAGAACTGTTAAAACTATATAAACTAATAACCACTGATAACAGAAATCAGAAGGTTCCATACTATTCAAAAACCTGTCATTGAAAACAATCCTGAGCCAGTTCCATGCATCTCCGATACTTAAATTTTGTCTAGGATTCATTTTAATGTTATCCTCCTATCTCCTCGGCCGGCCAAGTGAATTTCTTGAAGAGATCTCTAAGCAAAATTCTGTGTTCATTCATTGCGCCCGCCGTTCTAACTGCATGCAAAGCCCGCCCTAGCTTCTCATGAGCTCACCAGTAGAACAACAATAGATGGATTGTATAAATCACTAAGTTACTGTACGTACTATCCCAGACTGCACACCTAATCACGCCAGCTATTCTACTAAGCACTCTACTTTCACACACTTGTAATTCATGTTCTTGCCTCAGAGTAAGCATGGTCTGATGGAGTAATTCCTTTAGATGTTTAATATTTGTATCGCAGTGTAGGGAATACCTCATTTGTAGCTAGATTAAGACTGGTTTCGGGAGCATTGTTATTGATGGAAGTTTGAAAGAATGAAGCCAGCTTTCAATATGGGGAAGGAGGTTAGGCTGGAGATATGTGAAGTTGCCTCTGAGGTTAATTAATCACCACACCATAGCGCAGCCGGTATAGCAAATTGCTACGGGATGGAATGCTTAGGGGTCTGAGTTCGAGTCCCGCTAGAGGCAAGAATTTTCTTTTCTCCACATCATCCAAACCGGTTGTGGGGCCCAGCCAGCCTCCTGTCCAGTGAGTACCGGGGATAAAGCGGCCAGAATTGAAGCTGACCACTCATCTACAACTAGTGCCGAGGTCAAGAATATGTTGAAGAAAACATTCCCTCCCCCATATGTCTTCATGGCGTATTGCTTAATTAGTTAAGCACATGGACAACTTTACAGTACCGGCCGCTTTACTCCCAGTACTCATTGGATAGGAGGCTGGGTGGGCCTCACAACCGGTCTGGACGACGTGGAGAGGAGAAAATTCTTGATCCTACCGGGACTCGAACGCAGACCCCTGAGTCATCCAGCCCGTAGTCATTCGCTATACCGACTGTGCTATGGTGTGGTTATTAATTAATCTTAGAGGCAATTTTTATGGCATAAAACACATGAAAGAATGGAGCTATAACTCCGCGCTTTATTGAACTCAGCACCGGATGAGGATAAATGGTCAGCTTTTCGCTCCAGCCGCTTTACACCGGGGAAAGAACGTCAGGCACCTACTGGATATGAGGCTGACTGGGTCCCAGAGCCCGTCTGGAGGCTCCCTTCGGGAATCGAATCCCGTAGGTCCTATACAGGTCGAGCTATATTTTAGATAATGTTATCTTGACGACAAGCAGTGTAAATCCAACCTTTTGTGTTTGTTGATATTGACGGTTAGTTTAATGAGTATTGCCCTCTCAGGAGGCTGGCATCGATCAGTTGTTCCTGGGATAATCCGGAAGCTTGTAACATTATCCGCTAGCATGAATGCATGCTGAAGAAATATCCAAGAGGATTGCACACCCTTGCCATATCACATCCATTGCAGCGACAGGATACACTTCGAGAAAACACTACTCTGATCACGAATACGATTAAGTTGATAGTCTGATCATTCCAGTTGTGGCGTTAGAGGACATTCTCAACTCTTACTCCTTTTTTTCGAACCGATGGCGCTCCATCTACATTAGACATTTCCATATACACTTGAGGTTAATAATTTTTCAGAACTAATAAGGTATGACACCTGAGATAGTTTGTGCCCCTTCCTTTTATTTTTATGCCGTCCCCCAAGCTTGCAAGCCCCCGTCCGTAGGTTGAGTGAAAATGACTTTTGTAGGAACTCGTAAACGTGTTGGCTGGGACCTTTCGTCTGTGACGTGAATCAATAATAAACTGAGGAAAAGGTGATACACCAAAACAGGAAAACCATCTCTACTTTTCTTGCAGCTCCTTCTACTCCTTTTAAGTTTGTAGGTTTTGGTGTTTCTTTTTTCTTTGTATTCCATCGGCCACAAAGGCATCGATGAGGGCAGATAACCAGTTGAACATTGTGTAACCAGTTGTACAGGGTTAGGCTACACACTATGGATTTCCTATGCGAAAGATACCCCCAAATACGTGCATATCCAGTTAATATTGTAGCGTGTTTTGATGTGTCACGCTACAAATAAGTTCACGCCGTTCTCAAATTCCGTAGAACATTTATTGTCCTTCACGCTTACACAATCATTTACACCTGCAGTGTTACAATCACTGCTTACAATATTCCGGCGATGCTGGACTGGCTTCTCTGGCGGCTATTCCAAGACTGACTCCTTTGAAGGCTATTCCGAGACTTTCTTCTCCGAGGGCTGATCCGAGACTTTCTTCTCCGAAGGCTGATCCGAGACTGACTGTCGAATGCTTCCAGCCCCGCTATATAACCTTGGTCGCTGCTATGCAACGAACCCTTTGTTATAACCATGGAGACTCCTGTTAGAACTACAATAGAGCAATTGTTGTTTCCTATGCAACGGTCTATTCTAGCGTTTCCATAGAAGTGACTCTTCTGGATTCCAGACACGTTACAATATCTTTTTCAAGAAACCCCATCTTTTACGTATTATGTTAACTGAAGGATCATTCCTATGTCCACAAGAGACGTCACTGCAACCCATGCAGAGCCAGCTGAATCCAGCCTGCACTCTTACACCTTATTTGTATAAGATTTATTATAATATATAATATGTAGGAACTATGCTACCGTCAACACGATAAATATTTTATTTACTGCAGGATTTATTGTAGCCTAATATTAGCCTTCCGTGTGTACCTAAGTCCCCCAAGTAGTCCTTTCCGTCAGGTTTTCGTAAGATAATTCGTGTGCATCTCTCATAACTTGGCAGTAAAAGTGCAAGTGTTCACATTCTCTGTCACATGTCTGGCCACTCTTAGTGTGCAGCACAAAGGCAGCATCAAAGAAGTTATCACAACGTGTCTTGAATGAGAAGTCCAGAAAAATGCTAACAAATGAACGAAACGAGTACAACATTATTCCAAGCTAGAGCGTCGCTGTGAAAACACATCATCTCGAATTTCACGGAATATCACCAGGAACAGAATCCTGTTATTTCACTTCCTCCGAAGCGAAATGACTAGACGCCACAGTAGTCTGGATTCAGTTTTAAGGTAGTGCATGCAGGATTAAATGACGTTTTCTCAGAAGTATTTCGTTTTTCTTTGTCCCCGACCATTCAACACTTTCTCACATTCTGTCTTCAGTGGGTCTCAACCTCCCCACCTGATTGGCTGGACTTGAGATAACTTTGTCATGCTTAACACGCCTAGTAGAACCTGAGGATTCAAAGCCACTGTACCAATGTCTGACATTGGACAAGATCCTCAGCCAGCCCCACGAAACCTCGCAACGTATTTCCATAAGATCGTCGTAACTTTAGCCTCCCATCTTTTTCTGTCATCCAAGTGAACGTTGTCAAGGTTTCCCCACACATTGCAGCAACTACTACAACTGCTGCTACCTCTAGTGCTACTATCTAAGGTCGTTAATATAAAAGGAATGCGAAACCGACACCTGTCTACAACCATTACGGCGTCCATCTACGGGAAGTTGAGGACTGTAAAGGTAAAGGTAAAGTTGACCATATGCTTAATTAAGTACCGCGCCATGAAAACATATACTCGTTTTTAATCTCGATACCAGACCAAGGTGAGTGATCAGTTTCAGGCACCGGCCTGGAAAGTGGAATATGCATTATGAAAGTCTTATACGATTAGTATAATATTTCAGAAATTGGTTTCATAGCTTCAAAAACTGATAGATTGAATTAGGCGAAAATTACATTCGGTTCACGAAATGTTTTTCATCATCCACAGTGCGTGTACTG